GATAACCATAAAATATACTCGAAACTTACAATATTCTTCCAACTTATGGAAAAGGAAAATCTACTGTTAAAGATTAAGCTATTAAGGGAAAATTTGATATTGAAGAAACTTTATTGAATTTGCTTCTTATTTTTTACGCTATTCCTAATTTTAAACAATGTATGAGAATAGCTCAAGATAGAAGGTTACTAAATAGGGTTGTTTTATGGATATAAGAATTATACATTATAAGGATATCTAGGATAGATTAAAGGTGACCCGATTAAGAAACACGAAGAGGTTAAGATTATAGTGGTCCGATCCCCCAAATCACTGGCTATAGAGAATAAGCTGTCCAAATGGAACTTTTTAAAAAAGATCATTTCACCCCAACCAAGGCAATAAAACCACTAAGTCATAGTGGGGTCACTGAATATGAAAGAATAAAATAAAGAAAGAAAAAAACAATATGACATTACGAGAACAGTAAAAGAAGAGGAATCAATAAGATAGTAGATAACGATTGACACTGCGTTTAAATTTTTAAAGATGACAGTTAACGGGAAAAGCGTCTTACAAATGAGAAATGCTAGAAAAAACGGTTAGCATAGAACTTATGGTTACATCTAGCTATTTCAAATGTAAAATGATGGGATCTTGTTGCCATTCTAGTAGTGCGCTCAAATTCAGGTACCACTGAGGAAAATTCACCAGAACGATTAGCTTGAAGTATTTATAGAAAAAGGCGCACCAGTGGAATACGAAATGAATAAGAATGGCTCCTTCCAGTGAAAATGGTATGGTAGTTCTATATCTGAAATGGTAGAACTAAGGAATATACCTCGTCAGAAAACAGGAAATGGGAATAATAGAATTGCGATTGGTTTTGACATTCCGCCTGTGGGAAAGGAGTTTTAGGCTGGAAACAATTCATCGTTCACAAAGCCCGGAACTAAAGAATTTGGCAACTTTAGCCGAGATCCTCTCTTTCCAGCATCAACAGAATTCACGATATTTAAAATATATATAATTGTGTTTCCAGCGATTTTAAAAATTGATTGTCTCTTTATATTCAACGTCTTCTTTGTAAAAAGGAAGGCAATGGAGACTTTTGTACACGTCTAATACAAAAAGCACAATTGTTTGTATTAATGCTTATTTAAAGTCTATAAACCTCATTAATATATATATATATATATATATATATATATATATATGAGAGAAAATTAAAAAGTAAAGGCAATATTCATACAACGCATTAATTTCCACTGATGAAGAACAAGTACACCTATTCTCTAGTTAATAGACTCTCCCACCTAATATAAGCAGGAGTAGTAAGAGAAACGAGGGTCAGTCGATGTCGGACGACAGTAGTCGACAGTTAGTCGAATACGAAAGTATCAGCGACCACAACAAGATTACTCTGCGTAACACCTATTATATCAAGTTCCTAACGTTTATTCAGCCATTCCGAAAAGAACCTTTTCGCTTGCTTATGATGCCAGGTCTGGACTTGCTTAGGCACTCAAAGCGTATATACTTTACGTTACCTCAAGTTATCATGAACTATTGGTTTCCGGATGTTCGACCCCTTCTTTCCACAGAAATCGCACTACAGCACATTGTTCCTCGATGGGGAGGAGAGTTCATACGTCTGCTCTCGTTGCTCTCCGTCACTCAACTGAACGATGAAATGCTGCGCGCAGATACTTCATCCCATGCTCACGCGTAGTGTCGCGGGAAAGTATTTTAAGTTAAAATTTATAAACTATGTAATCCACTCCGCCCTTTTATAACGATACTTTAAAAATGTGTTCTTTAAACAGTCACAAAGGCATATTGAATACGTATATACAAACACAAGCATAAGTGTAAATAATACACATACATAGAGCAAACAAACAAACAAATATGCATATAATATATATAGGAAAAGAACATCAGCCTACAACAATCAGTCCATAAACTTCAGACTTTAATTGGAGGAAGAAATAGCTATCATTACCTTCCTCGACCAAAACAAACTACTAAATAAACGATCAGAACTCATCTCAAAATGTAGATACGAAAACAAAATTTTACTACCTTACGTAAAAATCGGAAACTGAAAAGAATACAACAAAAATAAGAAAAAAAAAAACAAGTAAAATGAATTAATCCAAGTAAATAATAATCAAATTAACAAACCCCACTCGCCAAAATAGCCGTTAGATTAGACTACAACAATCAATCCAAAAACTGCAAACTCTGAATGGACGAAAAAATAGCTATAATTATCTTCCCAGACCAAAACCAACTAATAAATAAACGATCAGTACTCATCTCAAAATTTTTACCAAGTTACTTAAAAATCGAAAAGAATAAATAAAAATATATAAAATTAAAATAAATAAAAAAAACAAATAAAATAAAATTAATCCAAATAAATAATTAATTAGAAACAAACAAGTGCCACAAAAATAACCGTAGAACAGAAATTCCCACAATGCACCACTGATCAGTATATATAAATAGTCGAGAAAAAACACAACACATATGGCCTGATGCTTGCGTTTAGTATGAAACAGTCTGTTACCTCTGAGTGTTGACTGCAATGTTCATTATATATATATATATATATATATATATATATATATATATATATATATATAACTCATAAAGGAATTATCTAAAAAGCTCATTAGAGAAAGAGTGTACAATGCTATAGTAACTAGCAGAACCTTAATATTTCACAATAAATTCCCAGTGAACAGTGACCCAGCAGAACTAAAATCGTAGGTATATATGTATTATGCACGTTTGTTTATATATATATATATATATATATATATATATATATATATATATATATATATATATATATATATATATATATATATATATATATATGCGTGGGGGATGTGTATGTCTATCTTTATGTATGTGGGTGTATAAGATAAATTCTGCATGCCAACCTTTCCGGGAGGAGTCTGTGCTTTGAAATCGCTAAAGTAATTTTGAACTAGGAAAGGATTCTAATGTTTTGTTGAATTTTAAATAATTTGGCTTTAAAGATACTATAATTATCACTCTTTTTTTCAAATAATGCCGTATATGGACATCCATATTTACAAAAATTGGCACGTTTATACACACACAAAAATAATTACAAAATTCTTTATAAAATATTGGATGGTCACTGAAGTGTAGTAAGCTTATCTATCTATGATCAGTAAATATAGTTTTTACTTAATAATAATAGCACCTAACCGGAACCAATTAATACAGAATTTTGAAACTTTTTCAGTTATTCTAATTAAAATTTCAAAAATCAAGAAAAAACTGATTTTGTAAAAATTTATTATTCATCGATAAATTCTAATTTCTTAAAACAATAATGTCCATAATATATATTATTCATAAAACAGATTAAAAGCATTTCTAATTAAATAATGCCTTATTTTTATAGAATATATTTTTTCAATTTTATTTTTTTTTTGATGGTCCTGATTTACAAAAAAAAAAATTGATGATTTAAATTGCTCATGGATTATTACGTATAGTTTATATAAACGTAAAATTAAACAAGTGATGGGGGGCAACAGATATAAAACGTGTTTTAACTAAAATTTAAAAAAAAAAACGAAACTTTTCTGAAATACTTTAATTCATTTGTGAATAAGTCCAGAAAGTTTGGTTAAACAAATCCATTATTTGATTTTTGCAGGAATTTCCAAATCAATGTGTTGTTCACCGCAAAAAAAAAAAAAAGACGCTAAAATTTCATGTACTAATCTTTGGTTGCCTGCTTAGGCAAGAAAGTCAAGATTTTTAGCTAATATTTTAGGTTTAGAAAATATAATGAAAATCATTTAGTTTTTCCTCTTAATAATAAAATAAAGATTTTGACAATAAAACTCTGTTTAAATTAAGTTTGGTATATTTTATCATGATGGTATGCTCATTTTTTTAGCGAAAAAGACACACCTACATACAAATATATATATATATATATATATATATATATATATATATATATATATATATATATATATATATATGCTTGCTCATATTTAAGCAGTAAGCATTCAGCTAAACAAGCTTTATTATAAACAACCAATGCAAATAAATAAGTAAATAAATAAATTGCATTCTTTTTGTGGACTTGTTTCTAATAACCGTTACATATGACGACAGCGTAGATTATTTCAAACTTGCAGCTTTCCAAAGAAACGCAGGATGCAGACAAAAGAATTCTCAGTAGCATACAGAGACAATTTTGTTTCTTGAAAATGACTGCGATGGTCGAAAGTACGTGGAAAAAAACAATAACAAAATCTGGTCAGTTTATTCACAATACCTTATTCGAAAAATTGGAAAAATGCAATAAAAAATTAAACAGAATCTGTTGGTATCTTCTTAACCAAATCAGTATATATATATATATATATATATATATATATATATATTTGTGTGTGTGTGAACAATGTTATCTTTATATGTTTATGAGTTTTGCGTCTGTGTGTTCATAGATCTGTGTGACTGTGTGTTTGAATGACTGTGTATTAGTGATTGCATATAGCCGTAAAATTTCATGTGTCCTTAGTCGTGTCAATGTGGTTCAAGTTCGTGAAAAATACGGGTTCGAACGCGTCGCTCAGGCCTTAGAAGTAATACCAGGAGATGTGGACAGGAGAAGATGGTATGAACACCAAGAATGACACAGGAAGCATAACTGGGGCCAGATTAAGAACAGAGTAAACGTGGGTGGAGGAATATAAGGAAAAAAATGAAAAAGATTTCGCAAATAATAAAATAAGACGATTAAACAAATAATAATAATAATAATAATAATAATAATAATAATAATAATAAAGGAGCAAGCAGAAAAAGAGACAGGTGAGATAGAAAGAATGGAAAAAAGAAGTAGAGACAGAAAATATGAAAACAGACAGACAGTCTGGAAGAGGAAAAATATTTTTAATTTCTTTTTCTTACTTTTGTGTTTTTATTTATCTTTTATTTATGTATATATTTATTTTTCATTTAGGATGATGAGAAAAGACAGTTGCTCCTGGTTCTACATCCCGGTCCCAGGAAAAAAAAAAGTTGCAAAAGGCTGAAGCAAAATGGGAGAAGGGGGACGGATGGACGAACAAAAGGAGGAAATAAAAACGATCACGAAAATGAAAGTGAAAGTAAAAGTAATCGAGTAGGCAGGGAAGAGACATCGGTAGCATCAGCGGCGCTGGACATGCGAGAAGTGGCGGTAATGGGACGGCGAACGGGGGGAAGAGATGTGAAGCGGCATCGGGGTAGCCATGGTGATGTTGGTGACGGTATGACGCCACCACGGACGAGACGTCGTTGCTGGCAGCATTGGCGTCGCTGATGGTAGTGGCCATGGCGTTTGGGTTACGGTGGGGCTTTTCTGGGGTAAGGATGGATGCACTGGGACGAGCCGCCTGGACAGAGGAACAGAAAGTGTAAAGGGATAGCAGGGGAGAAAGAAAAAAGTATATGTCTTAAAGATGATAAAAAAGGAATGTGAAGAATTAAATGTATCGGAATAAATAAAAAAAATAAAGAAGAAGATTTATAAAGAAAATAAAAGAAATCATCTGAAAATAAATGAAGAAAGGAAATGGATAGTCATATAGATTTATAAAGAGAAAGAAGAAAATTAAAAGAAAAGGAGAAAAGGAAAGGTTCTAAAACAGTAAAATGAAAGAAAGAAAGAAAGAAAGAAAGAAAAAAATACACTGAAAAGGAAAAGTAAAAGAGAAAAGATTAAGGCTTTTAAAACAGTAAAAACGAAATTGAGCTGAAATAAATAAGGAAAAATGAAGTAAATTAGTAAATAAATGAATAAAGAAAAAAGAAAGAAAGAAAATGCGCTAAAAGGAGAAACAGAACGAACTCCCGAAAGAAAGAAAGAAAGAAAGAAAGAAAGAAAGAAAGAAAGAATGAAAGAAAAAAAGAAAGAAAGAAAAAAAGAAAGGACAGAAAAACGAACGACCGACCGAACGAAAGAAATAATGAATGAAAGAACGAACGAACGAAAGAAAGAAAGAAAGAAAGAAAGAAAGAAAGAAAGACAAAACGAACGAAAGAAAGAAAAGACAAAGAAAGAAAGAAAGAAAGAACGAACGAACGAAGGAAAGAAAGAAAGAAAGAAAGAAAGAAAGAAAGAAAGAATGAAAATGCATTGAAAAAGCGAAGAGTAAAGCTTTTAAAGCAGTAAGAACGTGAGCTGGAAGTAAAAAAGAAAGAAGTAAAGAAATAAAGAAAGAAAAAAAGGAAGAAAGTAAGAAAGAAGAAAAACTAAGAAATAAATAATGAAATCATAGGACGAAAGAAACGAAAAAATACAAAGAAAAAAGAGAAGGAAAAAATCGGAAGAAAAATTAATTTGAAGGGAAAAAAAAAAAAAAAAAAAAAAAGACGTGTTCGAAAAATTTGGACGCTCTATACCAACGCCTGAATGGACATATAGATAGATGGTTGGATGGACAGAGGAAAAGATAGACGGCTGTCCGACTGGCCGGATGGTCAGAGAGACAGATGGATAAAAAGAAAAACGGGATAAGGAATAGTAAAAAAAAAAAAAAAAAAAAAACTGCATCAAAAGCAAATAAAAATATTAAAAGAAAACTATTAAAAAAAAATACATAGATGAATATGCTTTGAGAAAGGAATCAACGAGGCAGAGGCGACAAGCAAATCAGTCGAGCCAAGCGCTTAAAATGACGAGATGTGCTGGTCAGTAGGGTTTGAAAGAGAAAATGAGAAAAATAAAGAAGGAAACTTATAAGAAAAAGAAAGACAAAAAAAAAAAAAACCGTTCAAGAGTGAACTAGAGAGAAAGTGTGGGGACTGGGGTGAATAATAACGAAGACATTTGGGAGCATGGTAGAAAATAGAAAAGTTTGTTCGATGTTCTTCCTTTTTGCTATTTTCCTCTGCTGTCTTTACAGTTATTTGTGGGTGGGGTCTGGAATAAGGATGGGAAAAGGAGTAGGTGAATACTCGGTGGGCGGACGCCTAGGTTTGGAATGCTCAGAAATAAAGAAAAAAAATCACCAAACGGAATGTCATGGAGGCAAGGTACAACGTATACTAAGTGGGTGGGGAAAAGTTCTCATTCTGACCGTGAAGTCCTTCCTTGCAAAAATTTGGATACTTGGTAATTTCGTTAGATTTTTTGAAAGTGGGGCAATCCGTGACGATTCAGCTGGTAAAAATATATATATATATATATATATATATATATATATATATATACACATATATATATATATATATATATATATATATATATATATATATATATATACATACACACATACATACATACGCATATATATATATATATATATATATATATATATATATATATATATATATATATATATATATATATATATATATATATATATATTCAAATATATATTGTTAAATATAACAGACAACGAATGTCTAAAATGTTTGATCATGAGCCGTTCTAAGTTTCGTATAGTAGCTTTAATTTCGTGAGAAAATAAAGACAGAACTATCCAACAATTGGATATATTTTTTATTATACTCTTCCTTGATTTAAGTTTTCGGCTGACATAAGCCATTTTCAGGGTGGTTGTATGGACATTTAGACAAAGATATTCACCATCATATGAGCCGAAAGCTTCGAACAAGTAACAGCACAATAAAAAAATATTCAAATATTGGACAGTTATTACATTGGAAATTAAAGCAACTAGACGAAGGTTAGAATGGCTCATGATCAAATATAATAAACATTCGTTGTGTCATATTTAACAATATATTTTGAATAATGATCTGCTGCCCCTAATACACTATATATATATATATATATATATATATATATATATATATATATATATATATATAATTTAGGCTGCAAGTATTCATCCAAGCAAGTTTGATTCAAAAGAGCCGACAAGATGTATTTATTTCATAATTTTTTATTGTATTTTACAATTTTCGAATAAGGGTTGCACGTGACTGTGGGGTGGGGTGGTAGATGGAATTCCTTTCCTTTCATCCTGGTATTCTTTGGAAGGAGGGAAGTTCGATGACGTTATATGTAACAGTTATTGGTGACGAGGCTGCACAATACGAATGGGATTTATTTTTATAATATAATATATAATAAATATTAATTTATTATTCTTACATTTTTAAAAGTATTAACCTAATAATATTAAAAAATTAAAAAGTGAGACCTCATCGGTTCTTTTTAACCAATCTTGTTATATATATATATATAGTTAAGTAATGAAGAACTTGGTAATCCGTATGGGTAATCCCAAGGGCTAATATTTAATAGAAAAAACAGACCATTTAAGAGTACCATTATAATAAAAAAATAAAAAATCACATTTCATTTTTGGAAGTGCTATCTAATGATCCTTCAAAAATGAAAAAAGGACTCGTTTGAAATAAATTATTATAATGGTACCTTAAAGTGGTCTGTTTTTCTTTTAAATATATATATATATATATATATATATATATATATATATATATATATATACATGTGTGTGTGTAACTATGAAAATCTATTTCTATTTCCCAAGTACTTTCGATCTTGTTCCGAGATCATCTTCAGGGTTGTACGTAGTAATATAAAAAAAAATAAGAAGAAAAAGAACAGTTTTTAACACTTTATTGCACGCATAACCATGACATTACAACACAAAAGAAAAAAAATTCCATAGTGGCTAATTTTTACCGTTCTAATGAACGCTAAGCATGAATGTCAACCATTGCATTTGAAAGCATAAAGAAAAATGACAGTAATGGATATCACAGAACAGTTTTGTATTACTACGTAAACTCTTGAAGATGATCTCGGAAGAAAATCGAACGTACTTGAAAAGGGAATACATACATACATATGTATCTATATATATATATATATATATATATATATATATATATATATATATATATATATATAAAAATATTTGGGCAACAGTGTTCTAATGTTTTCACAGTTTTATGATGGTGACTATATATATATATATATATATATATATATATGAGTTGAATTTCAAATGCAGATCAAATATGGATCGCAATCCGACTGGAGGATGAGATAAAGAACAAATAGGAAATGGTTATCAATCTAATATATTTCAATTTTATTAAAATTTCGTCAGAGACTGAGAGTTCTGTCTTTTGGTCTATTTTATCTCAATCTCAGACGAAGCTTTAATAAAAGTCAAAGGTATTATATCTATTTCCTATTATTTCTTTATCTTATCATATATATATATATATATATATATATATATATATATATATATATATATATATATATATATGTATGTGTGTGTGTGTAATCATGTGCTTAGATTTGTGTGTGTTTAGGTGTATGTGCACGTGCGTGCGTGTGTGTAATTCTTAAGTAATTAATGGATCTTTAAAAAAAAAATTGTATTTCTTCTTCTTACATGCATGTAGAGAGTACACGTGTTTGGGGAGATATCCCATTATCTGGAAGGCTGAAATTAATGTCTGCCAGCCTTGACTTTATTAACACTTTCAATCTCTAGGCTGGTCAACAATAATTTTAGAGTTTAAAAACAGGGATGTCTATTCAATGTGCACCTATTAAATATAACGTTCATATTTGTAAGAAACACGCACATATAAACAGACTCGCACATATACATACTTGTGCAAATTAATTAAGATAAAACGAATAATTTAATCTTCCACAACTATGAATACCAGAATACTTATCCCATAATTAACAATACCCTGATGATGACATTATGCTATATCGAAAGTACTCGGAAATAAATACATACAATATGAACCAACACAGCGTTTTCCTCTCATCTTTTAATAACCACACAAAAAGCTCTTGCCTGAGTATGAAAGGATCCTATCGAGAATAAGTAGAAAGAACATGACTAAATTATTTAATGAAACCTGCCTTAATGAAAATATGCTGCCGAAATATACACGTTTCACATATATATATATATATATATATATATATATATATATATATATATATATATATATATATATATATATATATATTTATATATTTTTTTCTGTTTTCTTTTTGAATTTGTATGTCTGATGAATTGGATCGTATTTACGATTCCAATGGAATAAATTATGACCATGGAATATTAGTGTTTAAACCTTTTTATTATATCCTTACTCTGTCCCGGGCATTGAGTTCTACCTGGATTCTATCCTATTGAAAAAAAAAATTATATAAATATATATGTATGTGTATATATATGTATATATATTTATATATTTTGCATATGTATGTGTATATTTACCACTAATATTATCAATATATATATATATATATATATATATATATATATATATATATATATATATATAAATGCTTGCGTGTATCTATTATGTATTTGGGTAGCAATCTTTATTTAATGCGTGTTTCAGTGAATATGACGGTCAAAGAATATTTTTCAGGCTTTTATTCTTTCTGGTGTTCTTTCTCAGGGGAAGCGTATTGTGGACATGTCCACACTGTTTATTGTCCAGAGCGATTTCGACTGATTCTTTAGCCATTTTCAAAGAGATGGCAATTTTTTGTAGTATCAAAGATTGTTATTAAGACCCATGATTCTTCTTCGATGTGCCATGCTCCTTCAGAACTTTGATGTTCATAGCTCTCCACAATTTCCTGTTCTTTGGAGCCCTTAAATTTTATATTTTTGCGCAGGCTTTGTTTTTCCCAGTTCCTCTTTAATTTATCTGTCCTATGAGTGTCAGATTTTCCAAGTCCTGTTTCCTCATTATGTTCTTAGCATCCTTCTGTAGAACCATATTTCTGTTACTTCAAAAGTCTTCAACACAGTTAATCTTGTATAATGAAATATAAATATAAGCACACTAGTGAACCTCAATAAAAAATTATTTGTTTCTCATATTCAACGAAACATACAAATACAGGCATACATACACATGTATATATTTATCTATATTTACTAGGATGGTGGGAAGCAATGAGTTGGTTAATGTATTTTGTTAAGGTATTTCGTAAAAAAAAGTTGATAAGACCAACATATTTTCATCCTAAACAAATTGGATTACAACAAAAAACTTGACCACATACTCCATGATCACATAAAGTTTAAAAAACTTAACAAGAACCCGACCAACCAACTAAAATCAAAGCTTAATAAACTTATTAATGCTAATAATGCTGAACAGAACTCTTTAAAACTCCCTAAAATTGTTGGTGATTATAGACCTGGCTACATATATGGCACTATAAAAACACATAAACCTAACTATCCTCTCCGTCCTATCATATCGCAAATTCCAACGCCTGTATATCATCTAACAAAATACATTAACCTACTCATTACTCCTTACCTTCCTAGTAAATATAGTGTTAAGTCAACATTAGAAGTAATCCAAATCCTAAAAAGTGAAAAACCCGACAATGAAATCATAGCTTCACTTGATGTTGAAAACTTATTTATCTATACATATATAATTACCTTTTATGATATGATATAATATACATACTGCACAATTTAATATATTTAAGAAAATCGACCCGCAGTACATGCAAAATTCTGTGAAGGAAAAAAACTACTAAGACATTTTACTCTATTAATTGGACTGTACTTTTAGTCCATGTCATTTTAACTGAAAAACACATACAACAAAAAAGATTAGTGGATTTACAACCTTATTAAATTCAAACAAAAATTCTCAAATGAAATATTCAAATATTAAAGAATATATTTAATTAAATAATAACTAGCATTACGACACCTCACGTTCCAAAATTATATAAATGACAATAACATATTTTTTAAAAAACATCTTTCTGTCTACACTATATTCATTTCATCTTGGAGGATGAAAATGTGAAAGTCTCGAAAATATTCGGCCTAACTACATCGAATCTGACAATAATTTAAACATAAGGATCATGTTAATCAATGGATTATTAGTAAGTTAATACTTTAAGTCATGTTAGCGAAGAGATTTCGCCATTAATTACATTAACATTGCTAATTAATTCTATGTTTAATTACCTCTTCATGGTATAATATATATATATATAT